CTCAGCATTGTGATTACCGTAAAGAAGCAGAGGTGTAAAAAGCGTACATGGCTCATTCGGGGTCGCAGGTGGTCTGTGACAGCCGTGGGGCACAGATCCGAGACTCCCAGCTCCGCCTCAAATGCCTTTTTGATGTTTTAAAAAACTTGCTATTAAAGTTACAGATAATTTGTATTTGGATAAAACATTATACAAATTTACTTTAAGATTACTGAGAAAACTTTTGTTTTCATATACCTTTAAGAACCATGTTGCTTAAAACAGCTAGTGGAAAGCTGAACTTGTGAAAGTCATAGCATGCAAACATTTCGTGAAACTATTTCTTCAAAAAGCAAAATTCAAAACCTTGCAGTATAAATTTGAACATTTTCTAGGTATTATTATAGGAACTAGGTGGTTACTCTGAATTGGAATCTACTTTATAGCAACTGTTTTCTTAAGGATCTATAACAGGGAGAAGGAATATTATTGTTATTTAGAATTTACCACTGCTTTGCACTTCTTAAAATGTACAGTGTATCTAAAGTTCTTATATGAAGTTTATAAAAATTTTAATTTCAGGAAATACTTGTAAGTGATTTCTCTTTTCTCATTGATGAATTTTGAGGCTAACTTACTACTGTAATTAGTTTTCTATCTATTTTGATGTAGTATATTCTACTGGCCTTTGAGCGTAAGATGGTGTATTTGTGTCTTAACTTTTGAAATTCAGGAATCCTGCTACTCAAACTTAGAGGTTTTTCTATCCAGTCATTTTTTGTTTTGTTTATTTATTCTTCTTGTAGAATGTCTATGGATTCATTTTAGGTAGCATTTCTTATTCTAGATACTATGGGGTGCTGTTATCTATAGCTTTGTGGTATTATGCCACATAGTTTCATATTATGCCATAGTTTCAACATAAACTTTCAAAAAATCCCCTTCCTGAGAGAAATGGGAACGTGTCTAGGATTTTCCAGAAATCTCAAAAAACCTGATCCCCCCCACCGCCCCCATGCATGATAAATTATATCTTGAAAGTATCATTCTGTAAACTGAAGTATAATTGAATCTGTCATATTCTGTGTGATGTGACCAGGGTTTCATAAGTAGAACATTTTCTCTTGTACGTGCTGTTAAGCTCTCACCTTTTCCGTTTCTGATTTCGAGTTTCTGTGGTGCCTCTTAGATTTTATATATGTGTGATAAAAATGTTCTGTAGACCTATGAGGTCTTTCACAATAACCTTCCTTTGTGAGGTCATCTCTGGTGTGGCAGCTTCTCTGTAGGCTCCCGTCGTTCTGATGGAATGCTAACTAGAACCCGTGTCTGTCTGTGTTTCATTATAATTTTAGAAAATATGAAAAAGTTAGGAAAAATAAGTAGCCACATATTTGATAATAAGCTGGTAAACTAGTCATTGCTGAATGAGAAAATGTCGCTTAAAAACAGAAAATAAATCAAGTGATTTTTTTTAAAACAAGGTAGTTGTATATGCTGCCTATTTGGATATACATATTTGGTTCTTTATTTGGTTTTCATTTTAAAATAAGCATATATAGATATTGCAAATGAACCATATTTACTTACGAGCTTAGAGTTTTCCAGGTATCATTTGTTGAAAAGAGGTGGAATAATAAATTTACTTGGCCAATACTATTTTATAATTTTTAAAATTCTTAGGAGCCTCATTTTCCTTATGTAATGTTTTTATTTGTCTCAGTTTTATACAGCTGTACCTATAGCAATTATTTCCCTTAATTTTTTAGGAGCAGCTTATTAAAAGGAGGAGAGGTACTATCTATATTTTATAGCCATGATTATAGAGGCAGAAAATCATAGTGGAGGTATGCTCAAGTGTGCTAAGTCCTATGTAATGTTCTGTGACATTGTTCTTGAAGAATATTTACAAAAATTTTTTTTGGAAAATTAGTGTCTCAGATTCTTAAGTTGAAAATAATTGTATAAGTGCATCTATGTATAATATGTAAATACAATTCAAAAGATAAATTTGAATGTTAGGTTATGAGCTTAAGCTTGTTCTTTTAGTTCTTGCTTTATTTTTATGTCATGCAAGTCCTTTGCTTATTTTGCACATTTGCGTTTTCTTTCTTTTACTATCTTTCCTTTATGTTTTAATCCTACCCCATTTTTTCACATGACAGGAAAAAGCCCGATCATATCAGGTACCAAATGGCTTCCTCCCTTCTTCTCCCACTCCTCACTCCAATTTTCTCTTTGGCACGAGACAGCTCATCATTAATCTGCATTTCAGTTGGATTACTTGCAATGGATATAAAGTCTCTTTAGGTGTTTAATTGGTAATGACATCACACCTTTTTATTGCCTCTCTTCTTCACTTTGTCTCAAATCTAATAAAAATCCTATGTTGTGAATTGCTCCAAGAAGATATACAGCAGGGGCTTCAAAAAGTCTGGGGAAAATGGAATTAAACATAATGGAGTTTTCCCATGAATCTTTTGAAGCTCCTTTATAGATTGAGTAATATGAATACCTTTATATATAGTTTAAAGGAAATTGCAAGAAACTGAGACTTGCTAAAATTAAGTAATAGTGAATTTATTATTTTTTCCCCCAAAATAATATTATTGGGAGTTAATACAGTTATCATATCATTCCACAGTTCAATCACATCAAGCAGTATTGTACAATTGCTAACACAGTCAGTTTCAAAACAATAGCTATTTTCTTTGACAATAAAAACAATTATATTGAAACGTCAGTTCCTAGACATACTTTATTTTCAATTTTACTCCCCCCCCCCCATGAAAAACGGAATTGCAATAAAGGAACATATGCTTTTAAGCTCCTAATTTTGTTAATTGTTAACCTATTTAGCACTGCTATGAACATGCCCAGAACTCTCACTTGTCTAGTATCAATGGTAAACCTTGTACAGACCTAGAATTTTGATGTATACCTCAGTTCATTGTTTGAACTGCAGTTTTGGAACTACAGCCCAAACAAGGTATAAAGGATAATTAAAAACAAAACAAAAAACTTGTTCCTTCCGACCACATTTTGTCATCTGGGAGCTCTCATTGGCTTATAAAGATCAATATTTTTTGTAAAAAGATTACCCAATTTTAGCCTTAATAACTCTTTATAAAGTCATTTCAATTTAAGGTAGCTATGAAGAATTTCTCATTTATCCCAATGAAGCCAGACATTGCCTTTTTAAGAATACTGTTGTACTTTGGCTTTGAGTCACTTTTGAATCTCACATGGTTGTCATCATGGTGCTTTCCAAAGTTTGTCTCCTAATTGCTTTTCTGGTACCTTTACATTCCAAGTACTGAATGCTAAAAGTTTTTGGTATTTTGTCTCTTTTCCATAAACCACCAACTATTTATGTTTAGTTTTTTTGTTGTTGGAACTGTTAGTGCCTCTCATTGTCTTTTAGCAGCAAGTAAAGATCGACTTCCACAGTACTTACTTACCTAAGTAAAATCTCAGTCAAGGTTATATGAATGCAGCTAGCCCTCTCAAGTTTTTTGTCTCTCGAGTTTTTTAATGACAGTGCAGGGGAGATAGTGCCAAAGGATATACGGATCATAGTGCTTCGAAATTTTTCTACCTAGGAAACATTATCTGGCTTTTTTTCACTTTGGAGGTGTTTTCAAATTAAGATGCTGTATACTGGAGGTGATGTGTCCTTCCAGGTGTACCGAAACAGAGCAGATAGATGACAGGAGAACTGTGCTTCCGAAGGACCGTTGATCTGTAAAGTCGACAAAGAACACAGATGCCTATCTGGAGCTTTCCTTTACTCTTAGAAGATGCCGTTCTGAAATGCAGCGGGTCCAAGGAAATTCCTCAGAAGCATGAAAAGTCTGTCTTATCACACAGCTGTTTTTCCACTGGGCAATTTAAGAGTGATTCAAAATTTCCCATCAAATTATATAACATGGATAAAAACAAGAGTTTTTATTAATATAGTTCACCCTAGCTCAAACTATCGTCAAATAAAAAACAATTAAACCATTATCAGAGATTTTTTTCCATTGCATGTCATCCCATGTGGCCAGGGCTGCACCGTTTTGTTTGTTTATAGGTATTTCCTTTAACATTTCTAACCAACTCTTGTCCCCAAGCAAAGCCACCCAGAAGTTCTTCCTTTTCTAGCTTGCCTTCTGATGATGTGCATCTAGAGGCAATCCGCCTGCCTTTGTCCAGGTGCTTGTCTAATAAATTGTTATTTTAATGGTAAAGGTAATACCTTTTTAAGAGAAAACAAAACCCAACATAATTTGAAATTTCAAAAGCACCTCCTGATTATTTTCTCAGCTTTGGGAAATTAACTTAATTTTTAAAATAGAAGTTCTCTAAGATTCTAAATAAGTATTTCTAGTGCTTTGTATTAGTATAAACGAAAAGGTAGAATCTCTTATCCGCTAATAGATTAATAACTAATTTTTACAATAGAAATCATCTTATATTAAACTAATATTAAAATAATGACCCAGTTATTATTTTACCTTTCATGCTTGATGGGAATTTTTGCTTTTATGAATGGCTTTTGGCTGTTGATTTAAAATTTTAGTGGGGGTAAGTCTTTAGGGTTTTTTTTTGCTTTTTTTGTTTGTTTATTTTTAACAAATTAGAATTAGCAAATATACTATTCATAGCTTAACATTTTCTTCTAAAGAAGATTGCAAATAAATTATTTGTCTAAATAATTTACAGTAGTATACCAAAACTATAAATAGTTGGATGAATCAACTGTAGTTGAGAGTTTTGATTATTCTGTTGCAAAGTATTTTATATGAAAATAAGGCCAAGTTAATTGGTGATTATCTCCTCTTTTATTTCTGTTCTTAAGTGATTAGCTTCCTTTGTTGCTTAAGAAATAAGTACATATGAATTATCTGCAGAAAGGTTGAAAATAACACGCCACTTATTTCATGTTTTGCCGCATAAAATGGATATTTCTATTCATGATATGAATTGATTTCTCCTTTAAAATAAAAGCAATTATTTTGGGGGAAAGATGATTGTATTTTTGTGAAACCTCAAAAGGGTATAGAGTTTTGCCTTAAATCAGTTACTATTTGTGGAAGAAGCTTAAAGGATAACTTTTGTTCAGGGAATAAATCTATGCCACAAAAGAAATCAAATTATAGCAAATTATCTCCCTAATCTAGTTTATAGTGCTTGCTCTTTCGTTTCACTAGACATCTTATGTTGGCATCAATTTATTAAAGCAAAACAACACACTTGTCAAAATACTATTAATCATAAACTGAATTCCCAAATATTTCACTTCTGCATCAAATTAACATATTTTAAACTAACTTATATTTATGAAGACTTATTTGGTTTGATATCTTTTTAGACGCTGGTTTTCAATACAGAACAATCAGTTGGTTTACCAGAAAAAGTTTAAGGTAGGTGTTTTGTAAGATAAGTAAGTGGAAGCCCTGTTCTTGTTAAGTGCTCTTGATTCAGTTCTGACTCAGTGAAAACTCTAGTGAGTCCCAAAGTTCATTTCTTTACTTGTTTGCCTTACTTCATAAGTAGTCCTCATTGCAAAGGTGCTGTTCATTAGGCTAAGTGTAAGTGCATTCTACAGTAAGAAGTAAGGCACCCTGGTGCCATAGTGGTTAAGTACTAGCCAAAGGTCAGGGGTTCAAACACAGCAGTGGCTCTGGGAAAGGCAAACATCTGATGATCTGCTTCCATACAGATTACAATCCAAGAAATACTTGCCGTTTAGGGTCACTCACTTAATGGCATATAACAACAGAATGGGAAATATCAATATTTGATTCTTAAAAGCAGAGTGATTTTGAATTCAGAATTTCTAGCTTTGAATGGAGTTTTCTGCATCTTAGAATTGTTGCATCTATCTCTTTGCTTCATTGTCTAGCTTTGTGACAGGAATAAACTTTATTTTAAAAATGTTTTTAATTACAGATTTTTATTATCAGTATTTTTTTATAGTTCTTTTATTGTGAATTGGGTAAAGGTTTACAGAACAGATCATCAGTTTTACATTCAGCAATTCATGCACATTTTGGAACATAGATTACTTTAGATAGATGAGCTTACAAGGTTGGTCCAGGGCCTTCTCACTTACTTAGTCAGGGCACAACAGATAGGGCATAATTCATGACTACATGACACCCTCTGTACTGTCCTCAGAACAGTGACCTCCATTAAGGACACACCCTGAGAGAGACTGCCTGGGCTGGCTGGAGAGGTGGGGAGGCAATCTATTTTCTAGTGTACTCTTGCCGGAGGGCAAGATTATGTACATCCTTGGTTAATGATCAGCAATGGATTTTGGGCTGTCACTGCCATACAAACCCTTTGCAAAGTGGAGTTTTAAGAATTTAACCTCTCGTACAGGTTGTCATTTCTTGGAAAGATTTAAAGTCCCTAAAGAAAAAAAAAAAAGATCCAGTCTTAGAAACAAACCTAAGGGGCAGTTCCTAGCCTGTCCTCTAGGGTCACCGTGAATCAGAAATGACTCGGCAGCAGCAGTGTGTTGGAGGGTTTTTGTTTTGCTGAGAGTATGAGTCAGATTCGACGGATGGCAGCTGGTTTTGATCGCACTGTTTAAAACCCAAGTTGGTCACTGTGGACATTTTGTCTCCCTACTGCAGGATAACCCCACTGTGGTAGTTGAAGATCTTAGGCTGTGCACAGTGAAGCACTGTGAAGACATAGAGCGAAGATTTTGCTTCGAGGTGGTCTCCCCAACAAAGTGAGTGGTTCTGGAGAAGCTGGCGTTGCTGTGATGTTGCCCTATGTTGTTTTGAAGAACTTTGCAGAGTAGAGAAAGTTATGTCTTTGACATATGGTAATCTGTGCTGAAGAAGATTAATTATTAGTTAAGTATGAGGGGTCCCCCCCAAAAAATGAATTATTTCCCCCCAAAGCTATGTATTTTAAGTTTGTTTTTGTTTTTTAACAAAACAACCATAATCACCTTCAAAGTGTTCTCCATTACACTTAAGACATTTGTCAAATCTGAGATTCCATTCGTGGAAAGAGTTTTCAAACACAGGTGACAGCACCTCCCTCATTTTTTTTAACCTCTTCTATTTTGTCAAACCGTTGTCCTTTCATGTCCCTCTTCATTCTCAGAAACAAAAAGGAGTCTCACGGTGTGAGGCCAGGTGGGTAAGGTGCGTGGGGCAAGAGAGCCTTTTGCCAAAAACTGGCTCACTGGGATGGCTGTGTGAGCAAGGGCATTGTCGTGGTGGCAAAACCAGTCCCTTGTCTGCCACAAATCACGCCTTTTTTGTCACACATTGTTAGGCAATTTTTTCAAAACCTCTAAATAGGAAGCTTGATGAACAGTCTGACCTGGTGGAATGAACTCCAAATGTGTACTACAAGTCAATATTTCATCTGTTCGGGAAAGTTGATGGATTGTCCAAAATGAGGTTTTTGATCCATTGACATTTCACCTTTTTTTGAAATGAGAAAACCACTCTGCCCTTGTAAGCTGTGTTAAACATCACAACCGTGTTTGCGGCGTTTTTCCGAAGCAGGAAACAAAATTTCATAGCTACACGCTGTTCCCTGAAATTGACCATCACAAAAATAAGGTTTAAGTGAAATTGCTTTTACCGAAAAATTCACTATGACCACAGAGAGCCTTCTCAGGTGATGCCAGTGGCTGCACTAACTCAGGGTGAGATGCTTGATGTTCACCTAGCAGGAAAAATACATACCATGACAGCTCCACACTGCTCAGCACAATTTCGTTTTTGGGGGGTACCCCCTTGTATAACTATTCTATGTTAAGTAGTAGTAAACATATTACTGCCAGATACTTATATAGCTTATAAGCATATATCATTATAAAAATTTCATAAAGATTACTGATATGTCCATGTGAAAACATTTTAGCGCTCATAATGATGAACTGAAATCATATTTCAATTTCCTTGAGAACTGTATTTTCATGTTTTAAAAGGCTATCTATAGAAAAATTGATAGTCTATATTATATATTTAAGGACTTATTTTTATATAAGGTACAGAAAAATTATATTTTCATTTGGATAATTTATGTTATTAGCACCAACCTCTTTCTTCATGAGTATGTACAGCCCTAAAGATAGATGAAAAAAATACATATTTTTGCTAGAAAAGTGTTAAATAACAAAAGTGGACAGAAATTTAAAGGTTGTGTGTGTACCCCCTTTTTTTAGGTTTGTGGACGAGGTTATTCCAATTAAGTTTAGTGTCCCCTCTCTTTTCCTGCCACCCACTTCTATGCCACCACAAAAACACAATGGTCCTGAGCCCCCAGGGTCAGTGACTCAAGAAGTTTTCATAATTTAGCTCCCTGTATGTTCTGTTATGTTCATGGATATATTTATAGCATATATAAATGCATAAGTAGAAATAGCTTCTGCCAAACCTTTGTAGATTCAGAAGTGCAGTTCCATTCACCTTCTCACACCTGTTCAGCTTACACGTCTATGTGTGTATCCACTCGTAGAGCCCCGCTATTACAGGAATGTGTATGCAATAGGATAGACCTGTGTTGCCTTTAACTCTGTACTCCTCCCCCGATCTTTCTTTTCAGATATTTAATTTTTAATTCATTATTTTAGTATCTGGGGAAACAGCTTATTTTTTTTTTCTGTTTTTAGAAGCTGTATGCTCCAGGCAGATTCTGAAAAGCTGCGCCAGGCATGGATTAAGGCTGTTCAGACCAGTATTGCCACGGCTTATAGAGAGAAGGGGGATGAGTCAGAGGTTTGTAAACCATACTGCAATGACAAATACCATGTTGCTAATATAATTTTAAAATCTAGATTAAATTTTCTTGATTTTATTTCTCTTGATTTTTGCCTATAATTTTAATATTTGAATATGTCTTCTAGATTTGGTGTAAGAGATTTTGATGTTTGGCTCATAATAAAACAATGAATGTTAATGATGTGAATAATAAAATAATGAGTGTGAAGGGCATTTAAATTGAAAACTGAGTAAAAAGCAAAAGTAAGAAAGAACAGCATTGTTTCTTAGCTGATGGCTAAGAAACTTGGTGTGGAACCTATGGGTCATAGTCTGTGTACAGCTTCCCAAAGAGTTTCTCAGATATTTTGAGCAAGGCTACAAGTAAGTCTTGATGATAGGACTCACCACTCCTGGGACATCTAGCATGACTGTCTTTTGGGCTTAAGGATAGACAAGTCTCAGCCACATGGTAGGCAGACTGGATTGCTCTATATATTCGAACCTGAAGTGCAGCTTGGCCAAATTCCTGCTGCCAGCAGTCGATCAAATCAGACTCGTTCCCAACAGGAAACAAGAGTACTCAGCTGATCCAAGGATCCAGGGCAGAGAGAGGACAGTAGGAATGTCATGGGTGGCCAAATTCATCTGGACATTGAGTGCATTAGCAAAGGGCATCTTGTGGAGGTCGTTCTTAATGTGTTGGTCATCTCTTGAATTCTACTCTAATGGGGACCACTTTCCCTCTCAGCTTGATCTCCAGTTGTTAGGTGTACTCCTAATGACTAGATAGTAAAATACTGGTTTGTTAAGCTTTAAATGTCTTTAAGCAATAAGACTTTTAAAAAAAATCATTTTATTGGGGGCTCAAGCACATTTGTACATTTGTTGCCATCATCACTTTCAAAACATTTTCTTTCTACTTGAGCCCTTGGTATCAGCTCCTCATCCCTGCCCCTCCTCCCCATGAACCTTTGATAATTTATAAATTATTATATTTTCATGTCTTACACTGACTGATGACTCCCTTCACCCACTTTTCTGTTGTCCCTACCCTTGTGAGGGGGTTATATGTAGATCATTGTGATCGGTTCCCCTTTTCTCCTCCTACCTTCCTGGTAACAATAAGACTTTTTATATGCCATAGAGCACTTTGTGTTTCGCCATTATTCCCGTGTGCATACAAGTGCTTACTAAATAATATCTTTCTTGTTGATATATACCAAAGGTTTCCAAATCTATTTGGCCTATCACCCCCTTTTCCAGAAAAATTACTCAATGGCATCTAAAAGCTTTTATGCTATAGTTCATAATACAGGGTAAAATGTAGGGTCTGCTTTTGCAGCCTATCTGGATCCTTGCAGGCCCCTCCACCCAGGTAGCAGGATTGTCTGCTTTGGGAAACACCGATACAAACTTTGCTTGTGCACTTAAAAAAATAACTATCTACCAGCCAAATTTTGCTTTTCTCCTTGCTTACATGAGTAGCACATGACGTTTTAGACATCGTGTCTTCTGTTGGTTCAGTCTTAAGTTGATCTGTTCTTTAGTATTCACCTATGTACATATTAGTATTTATTGTAACTTTCCCGCCTAGTTATTCAAGTTAACTGCATTAATTAAAGCAGTGTGATTATAATTTATTGAATACTCTGGCAAGAACTTGGCATAGAGAAGTGATCATTTATTTCAGTCATGAGTCAATGCCCTTGTGCCTCCTTTTGTCTTCTACTTTGCACATCAGTGTTCCCTTTCTCTTCTCTGTTGCATCGGTGTGATATTTAATTTTACATGTTTGTATATTTCCCCTACTAGACAAAAGTCCTGTTGATAGCAGACCTTTATTGAAGACCCATATGAGGTCTTTAATAACTTATCACTAGGTGCTTCTGTTAAGAGCATAGGAACCCTTTTGGTGTAGTGATTACACATTGGGTAATCCACAAGGTTACCTGTTCGAAACCACCAACCTCTCCTCAGGAGGAAATGGGACTTTCTACTCCTGGAAACAGTTACAGTCTCAGGAGGGAGCATTAGAATTGGTTGTGATGATGAATATATAATTCTTTTAAAAAGTGATTTAACTATAAAAGTCTGATATGTGAATATTATATCAAGAAAACTACTTTAAAAAAACAAAAGAAGAAAGAAAAGAAACCAAAGTTGACTACTTACCATGATGAAGGAGGAAGAGTTGTTGCTTCAGGGGCATTGAGTTTATGTTAATGGTGGTGGAATAATTTGGAAAAGGCTATCAACAGTGGTTGTACAATACAAAGAGTATTAACAATGGCACTGAATTATACAAGGGGGTGCCCGCCTCCCCCAAAAAAAGACCCCCCCCAAAGCTATGTACTGTATATACTCCAGTATAAGTCAACCCAAAAATGAGCCGAGGCACTTAATTTTACCACAAAAAATGCATTAAAAATGTGCCGAAAAATTTGGCTTATACACTATGGTATTTACATTTTTTTTTTTTACAAAACAACTATCATCTTCAAAGTACTGTTCATTGCATTTAATACATTTGTCATATCTGAGATTCCATTCCATTCTTCGAAACATTTTTCAAACTCATCTGTTTGGGATGGCTGACAATACCTCCCATGTTTTTTCCTTCACCTCTTCTGTGTCGTCAAATCACTGTCCTTTCATGTCCCTCTTCATTTGTGGAAACAAAAAGAAGTCGCAGGGAGTGAGGTCAGGTGAGTCAGGTATGTGGGGCAAGAGAGGCAGGCAGGTTTTTGCCCCAACCTGGCACACTGAGATGGTAATGTTCTGGAATTGATTTTACAGCTTGTCTTGATATGACTGAATTATTGAATTGTATGACATGTGGGTGAAGTGACAATAAAGTGTGTTTTTTTAATTAAAAAAAAACACATTACAATCTTGTCAGGGTACCAGCCCTAACACATCATCACGGGTCCAGTAGGCGCAATTGTACAGTGATAATAAGTAAAGATTATAGTAAAGTCACATAGAGCATGAGAGATAGAACAGAGATTGAAATAATGGAGTCAGGCAAAATACATGGTAGCGCAATGCTTACCTCAGCCTCACTTGGTGGTCCACGTGGAGAGAGATTTATTGCTAACCAAAGCTTTTATATTCTCTGGGGACATGCAAGCCCCCTAATTACATGTGAAGACATACTTCACAGGAAAGGTTGTGCTATAGGTAATACAGTAATACAGGGGGGGGTGATCTAGGGGTATCCACGTAATAGGAAGGGGAGGTATTTGGGGTATACATGTGATAAGATGGGCGGATCCTAGATTCAGGATGGCAGCCTAACTTTGGATGTCACTGAGCTGTTTTTCGGCCTGTTCTCTGACTCACTATAGAAACCATTATCAGTACGGTGTAAAACCCCACCTACAGGCACTAAATAGATGACTGTAAGCCTTTAGGGAGAAGTAGCCCATTGCCTTTAATAGCCAGAGTGGGCCCTACCAGTCCAGAAAGTTGTTGGTAACTGACTGCCTTCAGGGAGGTAGCTTGACCATCATTTACCATTAGCTGCAAGGAGTGTCCTGTCTAACATATTTGGGGGAGATGACTTGGGAGATATTTTTCTGTGTCCCACACAATCTCAGAAATTCACAGGGGCGGTTCTACCCTGTCCTATAGCATCGCTGTAAGTCAGCATTCATTTGAAGGCAGCAAGTTTTTGGTTTGGAATTTGGCTAGGAGCATGCAATTTCGTTTTGTTTTCTTTTATTTTTTTAAACAAATATTCTTAATTCTTTTAGAAGCTGGATAAGAAGTCATCTTCATCCACAGGAAGCCTAGAATCTGGGAGTGAGTCAAAAGAAAAATTGCTGAAAGGAGAGAGTGCATTGCAGCGAGTCCAGTGTATCCCTGGCAATGCCAGCTGTTGTGACTGTGGTCTGGCGGACCCCCGGTGGGCCAGCATCAACCTGGGAATTACCCTGTGCATCGAGTGCTCTGGGATTCACCGGTGGGTAGTCCTGCCCAGGATGAGAGATGACTTCTTTTGCACAAACACAGTGTGAATTTTGCCCCATTGTGTAGAGGACCTTTTCCACTGTCCCTATGGAAGTGCCACTCTGTCTTTGCTCCCTTCACAAAGAGGCTAGAGTTCTGGTTGGTAAAGTACGTCTGAGGGATCTGGCATTTACCCTTGGTTATTAACCAGAAAACAGGTCCCGATTTATATTTGTGTTGAGGGCTGAAAGACGGTGTCATAGTGAAAACTAAAAGGAATTTGTGTAAATATATAAATAGAGCAGATACTGGAAAGCTTTATATATTAATGCATTTTTTCCCCCCTCACTTAGGAGTCTTGGAGTTCATTTTTCAAAAGTCCGATCTTTAACTTTAGATACTTGGGAACCTGAACTTTTAAAGGTAAAGTAAATCTTTGCACTAAGATATTTTTAAGGTTTTGCATTAAAAAAATCTGAGGAGTTTGGAATACTTACTTGCAGGTTTATGAATTTCTTATTTAACAATGAGTAAATTGTATTGGATCACATCTCAGGCTATTTTGGCAAACCTGGTGCTTTTATAATGTGCTTTTACACTGGAAAGTGCCTGTAGCACCCCTAACTAGAACTCAGTTCACCTTCTAAGGAGATCAAGCCTCATGCATTTCTTTTGTTACTGTATCAAAAAATAATTCTAGGTCCTCCCCCTCAATTTTATTCTTTAATAATTATGTAGATTTTTGTTTAAAAGTATGCACTATATTGCTATAGAGAGTTCCATAAAGGTCCCTTGGGGAAGGCTAGAAGAAAGACTAACAGTATAAACCTTGAGTGATGTAGCAGGGTCCTCCTTCAGTGGGACCTGGCCTTCCCCTCATTCAAGGGGTTTTGGGTCTGTAACTGCTCAGGTCCGAGAATTGACTGAGTGATCATGACTCTCTATTCTGCTGTTCACCTGATCTAGCATTCTTCTGCCTGTATAGATCATGTAAATATTTAGTAGGTTTCCCATCTATTTCACTCCTAGGAACACTGTGGCTAAGTAGTCAATGTCATAACTCCACGAGACAGGTTGCTTTTATTACTACGGAAACCTTGCAGTTTAATATAACCACACCCACCCTGTCTTTCTTGATTGTGCTGACACCTGCCCTCTACCACCACAGGGCCCAATCAGCTCCACTGTAGGCAAATGTCGGTCGGAGTTCACTTAGGCCGGTTCCCACAGTTAATCCTGGTGCACATAAAATAGCAATCACAGGAGTCTTCAGAGATGCTGGGTCCACTACACGGACTTGTTCCTTATGGTTGTGGTGAAGGGTATGTCCTCAGGACACCCTTTTTGGGTCTATGGGAGTATCCTGATAGATCCATTCCAACATACCAATTTCCCTAAGCTTTGGGATGCCTTCTTCTACAGTGGTGGTTCTCAACCTTTCTAATGCCGCGATCCTTTCATCCAGTTTCTCATGTTGTGGTGACCCCCAACCATAAAATTATTTTCATTGCTACTTCATGACTGTAATTCTGCTACTGTTATGAATCGGGGACCCCTGTGAAAGGGTCGTTCAATCCCCAAAGGGGTCGCAACCCACAGGTTGAGAACCACTGTTCTACAGTGTACCAAGGTAGGTCAGGTACCTCATGTTGGTCTAATCTAGGCCATCTGGCAGCCCATGCTTCAGTGAACCAACTAAATAAGGAATTAGATCCTCTTTTAACCTCTCTCGCTGAGACATTGAAAGAAGAATCTGTGCTTAGGAGTCCCGTATCCAGAAACTCAGACTGGTCTAATGTTATATTCCTTGTACCGGTATCCCACACCCTTAGTAACTACTCCTCGGGATATTCCCCAGGCATCTGCTTGTATGTGTTAGAAAACTCAAACAGATCTTTGTGAGAAAAGTGTACTTCTTCCTGAGTAATCACCTCAATCTCACATTTAGGAGTTTTCTGAGCCTTAATTGTAGTTACAGGTCTAGAAGAAATAATGGGTGGTAAGGGTGTTTCCTGGGTGCTCTCAGCAATATCCTGTAAGGCAGGGGTGTCAAACTGGTGGCCTGTAGGCCACAAAGGTAATTTTTTGTGGCCTACGATGCTCTGAAATAAAATGAAAATACAAAACAATTGTTATGAAGAAAATAGTGCTTAAGGGAGATCGAGGCAATACAGTACACACAATTCCCTAGTTAACCCTTTAACTACTGAAGATGAGTAAAATCACAAAATCAAAGTTGCTCATTTTAATTGAGTTTGACACCCCTGTTGTAAGGCATCTCCACCAGGCAGTGCTACAGATGCAGACACACCTGACATTTTAGCTTGAACAGTTTGGTTAATCTGCTCAGGTGTGGGTTGTTTTAATGATAGTGGATTAATCCCCTCAGCTGGGAGGGGTGCATCTATTGACTAAGGTGGCTCAATCATTTCTAGGGGCTCAGTATCCTCCTCTTCTGGATCATTAGCCCATATGTTCCCATCCCATGTTTCAGGGTCCCAGCTTTTTCCTAACAATGCCCTTACTTTAGTATCAGACACTGCTCTAGACCTGCAATTCAGCTGATGTTGTAATTCAGCCATTCACATAATGAGACTCTGGACCTGGTTCTCAGCAATGTCAGCTCTATTACTAGAGGAGAGAAGGCTCTCCTTTGTAGCACATGCAGAAGCTTTTAGGTCTGTTCTTCTGCACTTGAGACATGCTTCTGAAATTCTGAGACCCTCCCTCTCCTTAATCACCATTTCCATTGTAAGAAGGACCAGCCAACCAGCTTCCCTATACTTGTCATCCTGACAAAACTGCTGGAAAATATCAAACATATGATCACCCAGAGCCTCTCCTCTAACCAGCACTTCATCTATTGGTGCTGATTCTATGGATATTAGTGTTGCTACTTCACACCATAGATAAGTAAGAGTGGCAGACTTATCTATGCTTTGGGGGTAGAGATAGCATTATCAGTGCTGTTAAGCCTAATCAGGCTGGAGAACCAATTTAAGAAGCCCATATTTATGATCTTGTTTCTCCAGGGCATCCTCAAACTTTTTAAACAGGGGGCCAGTTCACTGTCCCTCAGACCCGTTGGAGGACCAGACTATGGTTTAAAAAAAAACTATGAACAAATTCC